ATATATATATATATATATATATATACATATATATATAGATATATATATAGAGAGAGAGAGACTATATATATATATATGGTTCTATTTTTTGTCTCGATTTTTAGTAGCGAAAACAATTTTTTCCTAGACCTTACACTCAACAATCTACCTTTGCTTTCATTTTTCCATGTGGTCCTTTCTCGTCATGTTTTGAGTCCTTGATCTCCATTACAGAAATTGGGATTGTCGGCGTCTACGACGGGACGACTATCACCATTAACCCTACCCAAGACTTGACGTTTGGCGGAACCAACTACCCCGCAGGTCAGGACTTCACGGTCAGCCTGGACAGGTTTCAAACACTTCAGGTAAGAATGCTCAGTACCCTTCCATTAGCCGAGTTGGTTGGGGAAGACATAGGATGAGTTACTTCGGTTTCTCTTTGAAGGTTGATTCTTTCCCTTCTATCTGCACGGGCAGTGAAACTCTAAGGCGGTCAAACTCCCCTATATATACATTATAGAATATAATATTCTCCCTATATATATAGCCAGCGTACTTAGCCGCACTTGCTATTGTTATTTCTTTACGGGTTTTTTCTTGTACTCTATTTATTTATTTCATATTTAAACACCTGGGTAGCCTCTCCAACAGTAAATTGTTGATTTCCAAATTGTATAAAAGTAAATCATACAACAAAGTTAAATAACTGAGAGATGTCAACTGAGATCAGTATAACTGAAGATCAGATTAAACAAATGACACAACATATATAAATGACTGAACAGAAATATACAAACCAAAATGTGAAAAACATAATCGTGATCCATAATCGTGACCAAATTCTTCTGGAGGTAAGAGGTCAGTCTACACAATGTAAACAGCGTGTATGCTCTTTACAGCAGCCATGCAAGTTTTCAGAGATTGTTGTCAGCTACAGATAATTGGGTGTATGGTAATGGCGTACTGTGTTCTGCAATCATCAATCTTCATTTGGTTCCAGCGAAGAGCAGCAAAACTAGTTTTCTTGATTGTACTTACTATATGATAGATTTCCTATGCCACGGCTTTTGAGTCTGCCTTCAAGGCACGTCGCAGTACTTTAGGTAAAGACAAATTAAACGTTCCTGTAGGTACAATCGACTGAAGACCTGACCGGGTCCAGGATCACATCCAGCCATCCGGTGTCCGTGCTGAGCGGAAACCTGTTCACCGTGATAGGGAACAATCAGCAAGGGTCTGGCGACCACATTGTGGAGATGATGCCACCCGTGGACACCTGGGGGAAGGAGTTCGTCACCGCCCCGATTGCAAAACGGACCGCTGGCGACATCTTCCGAGTTGTGGCTGCCAGAGACAACACAGAGGTAGGCTCCGTCTTGTGTTTTTTAGCGACGACTAAGGGGCAAAGATTAATAAGTACTTAAATGCAGTCACTATGGAATTTGTCAAAAAGTCAATTCAAGAACAGTTGGATGGATTGGTATCTTACGTACTTGGTGCGTTGGTAGGGTCAGAAAACTGGAAATGATGAGATTTGGGCCCCCTAGTGGCTTCTCTTGGTACTGTAGCGGAACCTTTCGGTTTTGGTATCTCGCGAGTTGGACAGGCTAGGGTCATTAATTTTGAATGATAGATAGCTCTTGTGCTCTGGAAGAAGCCATGTGAGTTAAGGCCTCCTAGCTGCTTGTTCTGAAATTGCAGGACGGTTTGTTTAAACCAAGGAGTTTGATTTTAAACCTCCTTGCTCTTCAAAACAGGATAACTAAAAAGCGGTTGACGGATCGTCGTGATTTTTGGTATATAGGTAGCTTAGTCGTATTACATTGCAAATCACGATCTAAGTTGGAAAGTTTTTAAATTTTTGTATAAGGTAACTACTGGGAATTTCATACTTGACATATTTGGAATTTCAGTGAAGGTGAAGGCGCACGTGCACATCAGTAAACTTTTTTTTTAATCCAAATCAGGACCTAATTTGAATAATTTATAAGTAAATGCTAGAATAGTCTTATTTATTAAGATAAGACTGTCATTGGGTAGAGGATGCGAAATGTCATTATTCACGCAAATGAGGCTCTTATCACGGTGATAATTTGCATTATCACCGTGAAAATGTATATTAGGTTGAACGGTTAACATGATCTGCCAAAGATTCAGCTCTTCTTACATACCAAGGCTGGTCACCATCTGGAATCAGCTGAGTCCTGTCCTCCGTAATATTGGGGTTCAAGCCTCTGAAATGTCCAACATCTTGACATTCAAGCGATCGCTTGTGAGAGCCACGCTTATGAGATTTGACACCCAGTTCAATATCGACGTTCCCTGCTCCTGGTCCACATCTTGTGGGTGTGCCTCATGCACTGCTTTAAGGCCGCATTAGTATCATAATTAGCTTTTTAATCTGTACATAATGACATTTGATAATTTTTGTATATAATCAATTCTGTGTATAACTTTTACCGAATTGTATATTTCATGTCTACTGATTTTTGATGTCTTATGTCTAATGTTTATTGTTTGACTTGTTTTGTATTGTTCCGTATTGCTTTGTATTATCATTTCAGGTTTGGGAGGACAGCTTGTAAAGGCGTTGATACACCTGTTTTGTCCTCCCTTCCACTTGTTTTTGCATGTGGTAAATTCAAATAAATAAATAAATAAATAAATAAAGGTTTGACGTCGCGGTAACTCTAGATCTTGTTGTGTATGAAACCCGAACATTAGTCTCTAGCTTGCGAATAACAAACAAAAACCAAACAAACAAACAAACAACATCTTACCTAGTCTATCCCAAATGAAAATTTTAACAGTGTGTTTTAATTTACTATTATTTTGCATAAAAGTTTTGCTAATGAGCAGGTCGTCACAATGCAAAATATTCTTAACCCTCAACAGAACACCTTCCCGGACTGATTAATCTGTACACCTCGGGTCCGCGCGGACCCCAGAACAGTTTTTTGCTAATTTTTAGAAATTATCAACATGCTACCAGCTCAATTGTTTTGCAAACTGATGTGGGAACCTCTGTGTCCACCTTACATACAAAAACCATACATTTTGAACTTTTTCTATTTTTTGGTGAAGAAAAGAAGACAAGAAGAAATACCCGATTTTTAAACCCATTTCAGACTGAAGGGGCTTTTGAGGCCCAACTTTGATCTCAGATAGCGGCTAAACGGCTTGCGCTAGAAGTATCAAATTTGGAGACCTTTCCTAAAATGTCTATGGAAAAAAAGTTCATATTACTTTAATAATAGTAAGTTCATGTTTTTTTTGTGTTGACATGGCAACGGGTTTCTAGCAGGCAGTTTTTTTGAAAATAGAAGTAATTTTGGTTTAAACATAAAAATTTTCTGAGTTTTATATTAAATTACACTTCTTTTCCAACATTAACAACATCTTACATAATTAAATATGTTAAATCATTTAATATGCATAGAATATGCTAATTTGATGACGTCATTGGTCAAAATCCAATATGGCGGACTATATTATTAGCTCTGACGTCATATGACGTCATAATTACACCAAAGTTATTAAACTTTAATTCTATTACTACACCATTCTCTGAAAACTTGGTAGACATACGATGAGTGCATAAAAACATATAAAAACGGAAATAAGGTAATGTATAAGAACGCCAGTGTACCCATTATGATCGAAAGCCGGCTGGGGTCCGCGCGGAGCCCAAAAGAAAATCAGATATAATTTTTTTATAAATGATAGAAACGGAGTTTTCTGCACTGTATTGAGAGACAACTTTGTGGGTGACAATTACCAAAAATTTCAGAAAAAAATCTTTAGAAACAAAAAAGATATTACAGAATATATAGTGCTGGGGTCCGCGCGGACCCCAGGTGTACTGTTTAGGGTTAAGGCTGTGCAATGAAAATCAAGAGGCAGGAGGGGCAAACCGCTTATAAAAGACACAGATGGGAAGGGCAAGGCCGCGCTGTTCGCTGCACCCGGATTCAGCTTTCAGCTTGTCTGTAACATATCCGTAACATTTCACAAAACAAAGCAATACTTGGAATTTTCCACATTTGTACCAGTAGCTTCAGCAGCTCCAATTTTACTTCTACTAGTTTACTTCTTACTACTTACTACTAGTTCCCGCCACACTATGATACTTACGCTATACCCAGCAGTGTCTGGTCGCCATCTTGAATTTTCGTGCGACGCGCAATGTTTCATGGGAAATTTTAGACTTCTCGCACATATTCTCGCGAGAATATCAGCGCGAGATCTAAACAAACGCACATTGCCGGGGAATTTTAACTTGCTAAAACATGTCGTCGGGTCCGATTTTCTCGTCTCTCGTCACGGACAGCTCTCGGAGCAGCCGTAAGAAGTCTGACAGTGCTTTAGGCACAGAGTTTACTGTAGTGTGTGACCGTGTCCCTCTTCGAGTCGACCCTTCTCCTACCGTCCAGCGGTTTCTCTGTTTTGTTTTCGACAATGGATCTGGAGCTATGTCAACACTGCCGATTGATGTGGGAGGGGATTAGCTTGTCAGACATGAAGGTAAGTTATTATTTATACCTTACAAAATTTCCATCATTTTTAACTGAATTATGTACATAGCTTGTGAAATAATTCATTTTTTTTGTCATCTTTATGGATAATGTTAGGAAGTGACAGATGATTGATGACATATTTTTATTATAATTAATTATAGGAGGTGAAAGCCATGCCCCACATAGCAAGTGGCTGCACAGCGGTCTGCCCCCCCCCCCTCGCCACCCAAACCTGGGAAGGACACCAAACAAGTCATCCTCTGGGGTGGCTTGGACAAGAGGAGGTGGTGCTGTTCAAATGACCTGACTCAGGTAAGATAACATCTTCTGTTTATTT